ATTTTAAAAGAAGACCAGCATTCAGATGAACAGTTATTTCTGGGTCTTTTTTTAGCCCAGGGACAATCTTATACAGAATACAACAAAATATACTATAGAAATTATCATCTTCTGAGTAGAAAAATTTGAATACTTTAGCCGTTCTGTTCTGACACAGTATATCCCAAACACAGCATAGCCAGTATTTTTCTGGTTTTCAGGAGTAATAATAATTCCTCCCCACTTGAAATACCATTTATTGCTGAAAAGCCTGATTTGAACAAACTACTATTGGCAACAGTATTTCCCCCACTAGTTTCTGAATCAATTACTAGATTGAAACCTCTTTGCTAGAGGGCTATTTCTGGATTCTCACTTTGAAAGGACCTTATGGATGATTGTAAATTCATGAAGTAATTCCCTGAGTGAAGTAGTTACCAGCCATAAACTCTCCAAAGCCAAGTTCACCCCAGATCAAGCAAAGGAAGCTCGTCAGCTGAGAGGTAGGAAAATAACTTGGTACTGATAAAAAATAGATGATCTTGCACATTTCTCTGTCTTGATTTGGTCTAAAGAAATACACATCTAGAACAACTCTGATAACTTCACTTAGCCAGGTGCTTGCAGTTTTAAGAGTTATTTTTGAAATTGTGGTCCACTGAAACATAAACTCAAGTAACTACTGTTATCAATTCTTTCAAAAAGAGATTGGCTTCTCATTCAACTCCGGAGTTTGTTTATTTCTCAGTTTAGAAGAAATGGAAACCAAATCTTTTTTCTGCTTGAACATCCACAGAATAAAATGGAACAATCACTTTGGAAAACAGTTTGGCAGTGTCTTAAAATGTTGAACACAAATTTACCATACAACCCAACAATTCTATTCCTAGGTATCTGCCCAAGGGAAATGAAAACACAAAGTTCACACAAAGACTTGTATACAAATGTTCATACCAATATTACTCATAATAGCTATATATATATAAAGTGGAAACCATCTAACATCCATCAAGTGTTGAAGGGATAAAATACTTGGGGCATATACATAAATGTCATTCTACTATTCAGCAACAAAACAACTGCTAATGCTTGCTACTACGTGGATGATCCTCAAAAATGGATAATCTACTAGGAGAAAGAATCTGGATGCAAAAGACTATATATTGTATGATTTCATTTACATGAAATGTCCAGAAAAGGCAAGTCTGTAGAATCACAAGCAGTTTAGTGTTTGTCCTGGGGCTGGGGATGGGAAGAGAGATTAACTACAAAAGAGCACACGGGATTTTTCAAGGCAATGGAAATGTGCTAAAACTTGGTAGTGTTGATGGTTGCACAACTGTACATGTACTAAAAATTAGTGAATGATAACTAAGTGAGTGAATTTTATGGCACATAGATTACACCTCAATAAAGCTGTTTTACAGACACACACACGCGCGCGCACACACACACACACACACACACACACAGTGGTTTCCCTATCACCCAGAGAATAAAGTCCAAAGTTCCAAATTCTCTAGCATGGCATGAAGACCCTCTCAGGCCCCTCCTCCCCTGTCCAGTCCAATGGCCTCCACTTCCCCCACAAGGCAATACAGTAGCTGTTCCCCTCCCTGCAACACGCAGCACTGTTTCACACTTCTGGGCTCTTCACACCCCCAAAACCACAGCCCCTTCTCAACCCAGTGAACTCCTACTCATCCTTCAAGACCCAATATAAATTAAATTTTTTCTCTGAAGTAGTCTATAAATTGTCTGTCAGAATGAGTTCCTTCCTCATTGTGTTCCCATAGAATCTATAATTGTGTGTGTGTGTGTGTGTGTGTGTGTGTGTGTGTGGGGTCGACTGAAATAGAAACAGCATGAGAGCTATGAGTTTCAATTTTATTTAGGGACTTACTGAGGAGTATAGCCCAGGACACAGCCTCTCTGATAGCTCTGAGAAACTGCTCCAAAGAGGTAAGGGGAGAAGTCAGTATATATGTGATTCTATCGAAGTGGGGTATGTGCAATGAAGCACATGTCTCGGTAGAAGGTTGCTGCCAGTCACAAGGAACAGACAGCTTAGGTAATGGTTTTAGGGATTTTCTAAGTATGGGAAGATGCAAGAATCCAGGTTCATAAAAAATTTCTCCTGAAAATATCTAACTCTCTAAAGGCTTGCTCTGCCAGTTTTCCCAGAGCACAGAGTGTCTCATTCCTGATCTCTGCCCTGAACTCCTTTCAGGGTGTGTTAAAGGTCAACGGCTACAGTGGCTAATTACCTAATCCTTGTAGAGCCAGATGGAGAGCGACATTCTTTAGTTGGCAGCGTATATCATTTCCTGTTTATACTGTATTATAATCATTTGTTAAACAATGCCACCACCACCGTGAGTGGTCAAATGTATTTGCTTGTTTGTCTTTGGCATGAAAGTGTATACTAATAGCTGCTACTTGTTGAGCATTTACTCTTTGTAGTGAAATTTTTACATGTTACTTCTAATCCTCACAACAATCCTGTAGGTGAGCTATTACCTCACCCATTACCCAGATGAGGAAACTGAGGCCCAAAGAGGCAACACAACATGTCTGGGATCACACTGCCAGTAAGCAGGAAAACTGAGATACAAATCTATATCTGCCGGACTCCAAAAATCCATGTTCTTTTCATTAAACTGCTTCTGGTTTACAAAGTAGCGTGTAAAGAGGGAAGGATGCATAGACTTAACATTTTAATGGCAAAGGTTATGAGACCTGATTTGTAGTATCAGCTTTACCACTGATCACGTAAATGTTGGAAAAGTCACTTGACAATGTGGGCCTCAGTCTCCTTATCAGGAAGACAAGAGTGTTGGACTACATAATCTCCAAAGTTCCTTCTTGTAACCACTGGCACTCAGATACATGGGACCAGAGCAAACTGATGATAATCTGTAATCTCAACACAGGCCATGTCTGGTGACGTTACCATGCCACACTACTATGGGCTGGTGCACCCCAGCAGCATGAGTGCTTCAACGATTCTTGAGCAGTTTTTTTTTTTTTAAAGGAAATATTTAATTTTTATTTTATTGATGCATAGCTGATTTACAATGTTGTGTAAATTTCTTCTGTACAGCAAAGTGTTTCAGATATATATATATATATATATATATATATATATATATATATATATATACACTTCTTTTTTAATATTCTTTTCCATCATGGTTTATCACAGGACATTGAATATAGTTCCCTGTGCTATACCATAGGACCTTGTTGTTTATCCATTCTCTATATAATAGTTTACATCTGGTAATCCCAACCTCCCACTCCATCCTTCCTCCATGCCCCCTGCCCCTTGGCAACCACAAGTCTGTTCTCTATGTCTGTGAGTCTTCTGTTTTGTAGATAGGTTCATTTGAGTCATATTTTAGATTCCACATGTAAGAGATATCATATGGTATTGCTCTTTCACTTGGGCAGTTGCTGAAGACTAGGACATGACTCCCAACTCCGACTGCATGCTTTGCGAGATAGTACCCAATTCTTAAACTTCACACACTACCTTGATGTTTGTCTCTGTCCTAGCACGTGAGTCAGCATCGCTCACCTAATAAGAAATGCTGCCCCACAGTGCTGGGCACTGCACCAGTTGATTTGCAAGCATCCACAAGCACTGTCTCCTAACTGGCCTCTTCCCTACAAATCATTCAATACATTGCCAGATAAACATTCCTAAAACACAGAAGCTCTGATTGTGTCATTCCTCTCCTTATAAGCTCCTCTCTCCCCTCAGCATCCCATTTCTTATACAATAAAATCAAAATCCTTACTCTGGCTTATAAGGTCTTCTGTGTTCTATTCCCAACCTAATTTTCCAAACCCTTTCCTCTACTGCTCTTCAGAGACCTTGTAATGCAGGCAAAGTAAATTACCTAAGGGTCCCTGTATTCAAGGGAGATTTTTCACATACGTGTGATTTTTATGTAAACATAATTTTAAACAATATCACAAATCATTCTAAACTTTAGAACATGTTTTCCTGCTAGCACACAAACTGGACTCTGTTCATGTAGTAGGTTTATGCAGCTCCCTGTGCTGGTCTCTATCTAGAACCATCCTTTTCCATCATCCACATACCTCAAATTCTTCAAATGGGCTGACGTGTGAAGTGCCCAAAGTGGTAACTGACATATAAGTGCTCAGTAGATGTCTTTAGCTAGTCAAAGCTGCTTTCTGTTTCTCTCACTAGTGATTTCTCTCCCTCCCTGAACTCACACAATCTTTTCTATAATACCTTTCTTATGTAGCTCATCACTTTGTATTTTATTTTGTAATTATTTAATGTGTATATCTTAGATTCCCAATGATCAAAAGCTCTGGGAAAAACCAGTATTGGCTCCGAGTCCTATGTGTACGCAGCACCAAGCACAAATTATAAGTGCTCAATAAATCTTTCCTGAGTGAGTGAAAATCTTACACTTAGTGAGTGTAAGAGCCAGAGTGACCGCTGGTAGAAAATGACATCTAAAATGGGAGGAGAATGGAGTGGAGATGCTACTGCGTGCCAGGTAACTGTGCTGAGCACAGCTTCATCCCTTATTTCATTTAATCCTTTCAAAAAACCCTACTAAGTAGGTGCTTATGATATCTCCATTTTATTGATGAGTCAGTTAAGACACTTAAGGTCACAACCAAGTCTGGGTCTTTCCAGTACTGTACTGTCCTGTCCTTCCAGTTTATGATCTCCTCAAGGTCGAGGACTCTCTAGGACAATACATAGCCCCCCAGCCCTCAAGGTGAACTCCAGCAACCCCTGTCTCACAGTTTCCAGCGGAATCTACCAGGAGACCGGGGGCGGGGAGGAGGCGGGAAGGGGGCGGGGGAAGGAGGGGGAGGCGGGAAGGGGGCGGGGGAAGGAGGGGGAGGCGGGAAGGGGGCGGGGGAAGGAGGGGGAGGCGGGGGACGGCCCTCTCGAGTCGCACGGGCCCCGCCCGCTGCGTCGTTGATGACGTCACCACGCAAGGCCGAGGCGGCGCGGCCATGTCCTTTAAATAAGGCCTTCCCGAGGCACGCGACAGAGAGGTGTGGGTTGTGCGGGCGTGTGATTGTTTCGCTAGGGTCCAGGTCGCGGTTCGGGGCGGAGACGCCGCGGACCACGAGGTGGGCGGCAAGGCTGCTTTGTTGCAGAGACTCGGCGGGGAGGGCGCGCTTCTGAGGGGCGGGAGGAGGGAACATGGCGGCCCCTAGGCCGGGCCAGGACCCTTCGCACCTGGTGCTGGCGCGGTCCCCTCCCCTGTCTTTGCTCACCGATTTACAGCATTTCTAGAACCTTGTTTTTCCTTTGGTTCCCTTTCCCTCAGCCTTCCTTGTGCCTTCATCGGCTCTCCCGCCGCAGCCCCTCACCGGGCAGAAGCGTGGGAGGTGGATTAAGTGGGAGCAGGTGAGGCCCGCCCGCTACTGAGAGATCGACTCCTACGTTTGACTGTCCGTTGCTCACAAACTCTTTATCCGCACGGGGTGGCAGGAGAAGCACTGAACATGCAGTGTTGACGTTCAGGCCAGATGCAAGCCAGATTTCTAGTGCTGGTGAGTCCTCTAAGTGATCCCGTGAAATGTCACTTAAGTTATCTGGCCCTCAGTCTCCTCCAAAAGTGAGGTTCTCTTTGAAAGATTCTTGACATCCAGATAGCTTTTGTCCTTCGTTGCTTGCCAGAATCTGCCCCATAATAATGTATGGTTGGGAAAATGGAAGCAAGATTTATTTTGACAATAAGGGAGTCGGGGCAGGGGACTGAGTCAAGACATACAGCCCAATTCTGGGATCTTGTATGTGAGCAATGAGAACACCATTCTGTTTCGGTCTTCTTTCGTGACGTTCCTGGAATAAGTTAAATGGAGAAGGACTGATCCTATGTTAGCTTCGCTGTTCTGCCTCAAAGACCTTGGGAATATTCGTCTGTCTGCCCTTTTCTATTTTACGTGTCTGTGTCGATTGAGGTTGTTAGGAACAGGTTCTTGACTCATCTGAGTTAACAGTATCTGGTCCAGCCAGTCACCTGCTTTTGTTCTTGACCTTTGGTTTTTTCCTCAGTTGAGTGAAAATTCTAGAGACATCCTGCCTCCTTAGGAGCCTACACTGCCAGGCAGCAGAATTGTGAACTAGAGTGAAGCAGAAATCTAGGAATATGAGCTCCATGATGGCCATGGGTGAACCAAGGCTGAACTGGTGAGTCACATCTGTTTGTAATCTCCTAAAGAGGATTGAAGTGGGTCTGGTGGCTGCATTAGGAAAGGAGGGTGTCTGGCCTGGAGAGATCTGGAGGAAACAGAAAGAAGATAAGTACAGTGTCTTAGAGTTTACCCCATTCTCATCTACCCCGTTCTTTTTTTTTTTTTTTTTTTTTTAATTATTATTATTTTTTCGGTACGCGGGCCCTTCACCGCTGTGGCCTCTCCCGCTGCGGAGCACAGGCTCCCGGCGTGCAGGCTCAGCGGCCATGGCTCACGGGCCCAGCCGCTCCGCGGCACACGGGATCTTCCCGAACCAGGGCACGAACCCGTGTCCCCTGCATCGGCAGGCGGACTCCCAACCACTGCGCCACCAGGGAAGCCCTACCCGTTCTTATCTACACCTGCTTGGCACTTTTGAGTTATCTTTGACTGCACTTCCTCTCCTAAAGTGATAACAATTCAGCACTTAGATTGCTTCTAGGTATAACTCCATCATGTATTTATTGTTGATCTTAGTAAAGGAGAGATGCTGGAACTTTCCTGCGTTCAAGAACCTTTTCTTAAGAATAGGCAAGCTTCTTTTTGTTATATTGGAATCTATATCAAGTGATAATGTAAGTGCATAGACTATTTTAGAAGTGTATGAGAACTTTACAAATAGAGAACTTTATTAAGTAATATGGTGGCTATGTAGAAATCTAATGTGTGTGCTGCTTTAGATCAATTTAACACACATTTAGTGAGCATCTACTCTACTAGCGAAGGAGTGTGCTAGCGGAGGAGAATACAAAAGTTACAAGAGATTACAAAGATGACTGAAATAGTACCTGACTCAGAAGATTCAATCACTACATCCTCTAGTATAATGCATATAGACAATGATATTGTCTATAATTATGTAATGTGATAAATATTGATTCAGTGGCAATCATATTACAATATAGAAATGTTATCAAAGTAACATGCTGTACACCTTAAATTTACAAAGTGTAACATGTCAAGTTTATCAAATAAATACAATCAATATGTGTTCAATAAGTATTTGTTTATTGAAAACAGTGTTTCCTCCAAGGAGCTCACAATTCCTGAGGCCCATGACTTTGTTTTTGTATGTTATGCAAAAACTTTAGAATTTAATGAGATGTCACAGATACAGCACAATAGCAAGTACTAAGAAACTACCCCGGTGCATAACAAATAAGACTTTTTAGATTTATCATTAATACCTTAATTATTGTTTTTAGATAAACACCTTTAAAACAGTAAGAAATGAGTATGGAGCAAATATGCGAGAATTTCCCATTTTAGTAATGGGCCAGCCAAAGGTGCCATTTGACTAGATTTTTCTGTTGTAAGTTTTAAGAGGTATGCACATTTATGCTCCTTGCCATAAAAAATGTGTTCAAATGCAGAACAGATGCTCTTCTATATCATTGACATTGTGAAACCAAACGTGGTTTAGAGCCTTTGCACAGTATTACAGTCCTTGGAATGGTCCTTTTCTACAGAATCCTTCTAATTTTTGTTCTCCCTAGATTAATTGTTCTCAGTGTGTTTAATTTTTAAATTCTTTCGTTCAACCAGCATTTATTGGATGCTTACTATACAGAAAGCATTGACTATAGTATGTTAGTCTGTAAATTAATTACAGTATAGAAAATCATATATGACCTTGCAAGTAGTTTTAGTAGAGGCACACCATTTATCACATTTGCCAAGTTAACAAAAAACGTTGGATAATCAGTCTTTGTAGTGTTTTTTGGCTGAGCACAATAGTGAATGAGACAAAAATAGGTTAAGAAGCATTTTCTTTCAGCAATCAAACATCTTAATGTTATGCCACAGAGCCTGAGGTGAGCCTTGCCCCTGACAGACCCTTTATGATACTTCAGTCTGTTCTGTCTTTAACTCTCAAGTATCTCTGGCATTTAGTTGGGTACTAAAGGAAAAAGCAAGGCTGATTGTTGGAATTGGAGAATTTCAGAATGGGCCTAGGTTAAAAACTATCCAAGAAGTAAAACATCTAAACTCACACATGGAATTAAAATTATTGAGGTGATTTTCTGGGAAAGGGGATGTAGGGGACATGTAGTTTTAAATTACAATTGTACCATTATGCTTGTTAATCTAGCATGAAATTTTGAATTGTCAAATTCAAGTAAATTACTTTGTTTTACAGGGATGTTTCCCCCAAAAATGGCCTTAAGACATTTTTCTCTCGAGAAAATTATAAAGATCATTCCATGGCTCCAAGTTTAAAAGAACTGTGTATTTTATCTAGCAGGTAATATGTTTATTTATTTGGTTATTTATTTCCATATTTGATTGTTATTTTCCTGATAGTTGAAGTTTTATATGTATCTATATCCACCATGATAAATTCAAATTATAGAAATGTAGAAATTAAAAAATAGAAGAACTCAGTACCAAAAAGTGACCACTCTTTGGTATGCATATATATCTTTTCAGACCTTTCTCTCCACTCATGAACAGATACATATTAAAACAAAAATGGGGGGACTTCCCTAGCAGACCTGTGGTTAGGACTCTGTGCTTTCACTGCTGAGGGCCCAGGTTCAATCCCTGGTCAGGGAACTAAGATCCCGCAAGCCGTGTGGCATGGCCGAAAGAAGGGGTGGGGGATCACACCATAAATGCTGTAAAATGCTGTAAACACTATAAAACTGTTTTGCAATTTGCTTTTTTCATTTAAAGTAATAGTTTGGGTATTTTGTGCCCCTACATTAACTCAGTCTTCTTAATGGTTGCATATTATTTTACTATACAGAGATACTTTTAATTATTTTAGCTAGTTTTACATTGCAAAATGTTTGTGTTCCTCTTTCTTTGGGATTTTAAACAGTAACATTTATAAAGTTCTTGTAATTATTTCTGTAAGATAAATTCGTAGAAATTGAATTGTTTGGGCAGATTCTATAAACATTTTATATTTTAATAGATACCACCAAATTGCCATAGAGTTTTTTTCTGGTATGAAAATGCCTATTAAGTGATGATTTTCCGTTCTCACTGCTTACTTGCCTGTAACAGCTCTTCTTTCCTTTGTGATTACCTGTTTCAACTCTATTGTGGATGAATCTTAAAACTAATCAAGTTTACTAGAAAGCAGTGAAAATATGCCAAATGAGGAATTGGGGGGCTCCCCTAGGGGAGCTTAATTTTTAACTTTCATCCTTTCTCCACTCCTTTTGCAATGGAGGAATCATACTTGTAGCCTCTGCATGGAATGGGACCCCATCTTTTCCTGCCTTTTCAGTACCCTTTCTGTCAATTAGCATCCCCTCTTAACTCCTGTCTCTCTTTTTTTTAAGCCATGCCGCTCAGCTTGTGGGATCTTAGTTCCCATACCAGGGATCGAACCCATGCCCCCTGCAGTGGAAGCGCAGAGTCCTAACCACTGGACTGCCAGGGAAGTCCCTCTTTGTTCTCTCTTGACCAATATTTAAACATGCTCAAGTTTGTCCCATCTCAGTCCCTGGGTCCCACATTCCCTCCTAGTTGCTTTCTTAGCTCTTCTCTCATTTGTACTTAGACTTCTTTAAATACTTGTATATGCTTGCTGGGAGGAAATGAGGGACAAAAAATCTATAAGACATACCAAAACCAATTAACAAAATAACACTGCTGAGTCCCTCCCTCCCAATAATTACTTTAAATGGATTAAACTCTCCAGCCAAAAGACAGATTTGGAGAATCAATTTAAAAAACGGGATGGAGGGGGCTTCCCTGGTGGCGCAGTGGTTGAGAGACTGTCTGCCGATGCAGGGGACACGGGTTTGTGCCCCGGTCCGGGAAGATCCCACGTGCCACGGAGCGACTAGCCCCGTGAGCCATGGCCGCTGAGCCTGTGCATCCGGAGCCTGTGCTCCGCAACGGGAGAGGCCACAACAGTGAGAGGCCCGTGTACCGAAAAAAAAAAAAAAAAAACCCTTCCCTTTATTGCGTATCCCATTGCACGTGCTTTCACTGAACATTCCACTGTAATCTGCCTTTTGCCCTCACTAGGCTACTAAAACTGCTCCTCTTAAAATCAGCAATGAGCTCTTGACCATAGAGATATCTCACTCTAATTTTCCTCCTAGTTTTCTGGTGACAGTGGTATTTCTTAGTGGAATCAATTAATTGCTACCACTGATACTCATTTAGGTTGTTTCCATTCCTTTACTGTTACAAACAATGAGCATCTTTTTTTTTTTTGGCTGCATTGGGTCTTCGTTGCTGCGCGTGAGCTTTCTCTAGTTGTGGCGGATGGGGGCTACTCTTTGTTGTGGTGCGTGGCCTTCTCATTGCGGTGGCTTCTCTTGTGGAGCACGGGCTCTAGGTACTCGGGCTTCAGTAGTTGTGGCTCTAGAGCACAGGCTCAGTAGTTGTGGCGCACAGGCTTAGTTGCTCCGCGGCATGTGGAATCTTCCTGGACCAGGGATCGAACCCATGTCCCCTGCATTGGCAGGCAGATTCTCAACTACTGCCCCACCAGGGAAGTCCCTTGCTACTGCTTCTTAATTATTTTATGGTCCTTTTCAAATCCGGTTCTATTCAGCATATCCCAAGCGTGGATTATAGTCTGAAATTTGTAAGGGAGAGGACGTCCTACTGGAAGTTGAGTACACTTAACACCTAAAATCTTTTTTTCTTAGAATATCACTTGTTTTTCTTTAGATTTCTATATAGCACAAAATAATTTGTTAGTATAATACACCTTTTAGCATAGAAGAAATAAAGACACAAGTCATTGATTTCGTATGTTTCTAGTCTTTTTTGCTAACCTTTAGTTTTATTATAGTAAGAATGGATTTTCAGACTATATTAAATTACCACAGTTTTCTTTTTTTTTTTTTTTTTTTTTTTTTTTAATGGTACGTGGGCCTCTCACTGTTGTGGCCTCTCCCGTTGCGGAGCGCAGGCTCCGGACGCGCAGGCCCAGCGGCCGTGGCTCACGGGCCCAGCCGCTCCGCGGCACGTGGGACCCTCCCGGACCAGGGCACGAACCCGTGTCCCCTGCATCGGCAGGCGGACTCTCAACCACTGCGCCACCAGGGAAGCCCTACCACAGTTTTCTTGATGAAAAAACCAGGAAGAAAAAAACAAAAAAAGACTCGGAAGAATGTAAATTTATTAGCCCTAATTTTGTATTTTGTTTTCTATAAAAACATATTTGGGAAAATATTGATACCTCTAATTATGCTACTTTCAACAATATGAGGTTTTTATTCAACCCTTTTCCCTCCACTGAAAGGTAAGTATTTGCCTTTTAAAAATTAGTTTCTGGGGACTTCGCTGGTGGCGCAGTGGTTGGGAATCCGCCTGCCAGTGCAAGGAACAGGGGTTCGAACCCTGGTCCGGGAAGATCCCACATGCCGCAGAGCAACTAAGCCTGTGCGCCACAACTACTGAGCTTGTGCTCTAGAGCCCATGAGCCACAACTGCTGAGCCCATGAGCCACAACTGCTGAGCCCGCGTGCCACAACTACTGAAGCCCATGTGCCTAGAGCCCATGCTCTGCAACGAAGAGAAGACACCGCAATGAGAAGCCTGCACAGCCCTTGCTCGCTGCAACTAGAGAAAGCCTGTGCGCAGCAACGAAGACCCAATGCAGCCAAAATTAAAAAAAAAAATTAGTTTCTGGTTATTGATATTTATAACTGAGTTTTAAGCCAACAAAGGGGAAAGAAGCTTCAAATACACAAAAAAGAAGAAAAAGAAGAAATTTTAACATGTTTAATGTACATAAGTAAATCAAATTCAGGAGGTACAGGTAGACTTTAGATGGAGGCTAGAAGTACCATTTCCAAATGCTACTTAAAGAAGCTACCCAAACCAGGAGACTTAAAGCATAGGAAACGAAAACTTTTGAATTCTGCCTTTTTTTCATAGAGACTTAAAGTAAAAAAGGAGAGTTGACAAAATGAAGGGAGAAAACTTCAAACCATCAACTTAAATAAAATATAATGCTGTAAATGTGGATAGAAAAAACCCATCAGATGCTTTTGGCTTGCACCCTGATGAAGATTTTGACAGCGCTGCACACAGAAATGATCTTGATGTGCTGCCGTTTCATTCTTTGCTGAATGTAGCCAATTTAAACTGCTAGAATTTCTTGACATTCCTAGTCTGGCGTATCTGAGTCAGCATCTTGTTGCTGCAGCAGCTTAATTAAATTTGCCAGTTTGTGTCACAAGGACAGACATGTTCTCATATTCAGAGAGACAGCCGTGAAGCAGTATTGTTAAGAATTGCGGACACAATACTGTTAGGTTTGAATAGCTCTCAAGACATTTTCTAGTGAGAAATCAATTTGCTGTAATACATTTCTCCCAAGATCAGCAGTTAATATTCATTTTGTTAACCTAAAATATGCTTATTTTTATGCAGTTATTGGAGAAACTTTAGTAGCTAAGTATGTCTTCTTTCACCTGTATTATTTTCAGAGCCAATCTAAGCATCCTTATTTTAATTTCCAAAATTCTTTTTCCATTTACTAACCTGCTCTCTTGGTTAGTTTTACATCCAGAGTTTAGCTCTAAAAGAGTAATGTTGAATATTTTGCCTTATTTGAGGGCTCTAAGTCTTTTTTTAAAGAATTTTGGAATTTTTATCGTATTTATTCTAATATTTTAACGTTGATCTAAAACAAATTAATGGTAGCTTTGGATGGGGCTTAACTCACGCTTTTTAGTTTGGAACCAAATCATTACTGTGGTGGAAATTGAAGTTGTAGAGGCTAAGGAAATGTAGTTTCGTGTGTGTGTGTGTGTGTGTGTGTGTGTTTGTGTACTTTAAGACTTTCTTATGAAAAATGTAGGTTATAACACTGAATAGCAGCAATAGAGACAGATTATTTACAAGATAAGAAATTTGTGTCATATACCTTAATTGGGGTAGTAAGCTGATTTTTTTTTAAATTTGGGGTAGGCTTTCATAAACAGATAGGGTAACAGGTTCTCTAGCTACTCACCAGTTTTTCCTGTAGTGTATTTCATTATAGATGTGCCAAGATTTCTCTTTTGTATCTATACAAAACATAAAGACATTTCCATAAACTCAGCCATGTGCATGAGTGATAGAGGATTATACAACTTTTCTAAAACCACTGTTATTTCCATAAAATATATCACAGAGTGTTGGGATTTTCTTTTAAATTCTTGAGATAATTAAAGCAGAGGAAACCAGAAAATTTAGAATCTCAGTGAATTTGTGAACTTCAAGTTTGTGACCCCAACATATCCTGCTCTTAGTGGCTTTTGTTCACTGCATTAACTGATATATCTTATTGAAGACTTTAGGTATTAAAAAACAACTTGAATTGTAATAAAATGTAAACACAAAATACCTGCATATATAACTAGCAAGAGTGATTTACCCCTCTTCAATAAAGGGAGGAAGCTTCCAAATTGAATAACTTGTCTAAGGATTTTGCCTCTTCCTCTCCATCAGGTAATTGAAGGTAAACTTGTAATGTGATCCTATCCTGCAGAATACTTAATTTATACTAAATGGCTAAACATCAAAATGCAGGTGGCAGAGTTAGATAATAATCCAGAATTTACTCTGTTAATCACTCTGTATTCTCCCTGGTGATTGAGAATCATGAAGTTTCATGATAGTAATCTTCATGTGAAAAGCACATATTTGTAAATTGTATTTTTTTTCCCCAGACGTATAGGAGAAAATTTGAATGCCTCAGCAAGTTCCGTAGAAACTGAGCCGGCAGTTAGTTCAGCAACTCAAGCAAAGGAAAAAGTGAAAACCACAGTTGGAATGGTTCTTCTTCCAAAACCAAGAGTTCCTTATCCTCGTTTCTCTCGTTTCTCACAGAGAGAGCAGAGGAATTATGTGGATTTGTTGGTTAAATATGCAAAAATCCCTGTGAGTTCCAAAGCTGTTGGAATAAATAAAAATGAATACTTGCAGTACTTGGTATGTATTGTTTTCTTCAGCGTCAGTTAAAAAATATTTAAAAGTTAGGAAATATTTGAAATTTGCTTTTATGTTTTTAGGTGCAATCACATTAATAAAAATGGAAACTATAAGGAGTTTAATTGACAGAACATTGGTGCTTTAATTCTATTGTTTCTATTATAGTCGAGGCATTTTGCTCTAGTTCTGAGTATATTTCACCCCAGTTCATATTAAGTACTAGCAGTAGAACTTTACCTTGCACCTTGAACCACTTTAAAATTTTTGTTAATTATTACTTTAATTAAGTAGTTACCAAATTCTCGATTAGGTAAGTGATGCTGTGCTGAATGTCATTGTTGCAAACTCTTTGTTCATATCTATGATTGTTTCCTTAAGATAAATTCTTAAAAATATAATTACCAGATCAAAAACTATACATGTTTTTAAGGCTTTGATCTGCAGTTACACACGAGTAAATTGTTCTGAAAAAAAGTTTAAACCAATTTGTATGTACCAGTACTGTAAGAAGGTTTTTTTCAAAATATCTTCACTAACAATGAACGTTATTTTTTTGCCTCTAATTTGATATGGAAAAAATGGCAATCTCTTGTTTTTTATTAACTTACAGTGGTTACTAATGAAAATAAGCATTTTCCATGTGTTTATAAGCCATTTCTAATTCTTCTTTTGTAACTTGCATATTTATATGTTTGCTTATTTTTCCATTTGGGTGTTTGTCCTTTTTATGTTAAGAGCATTTTATAAAATGAGCTTATTAATTCCTAATCATATATTGTAGCATTAGTCATTAGCTTTTCTCTTTTTGTGGAATGAACTTTTTTGTGATTTCTGCTTTGGACATGATACTTTAAGTCCATATTATTAGTGCAGCAATTGAGAAGTGATTGTTTTTAACCAAGCTTCTTATTCTAAGATATGTCTACTTTTTTTTTAAATCAGGATATGAAAAAACATGTGAATGAAGAAGTTACAGAATTCCTAAAATTTTTGCAGAATTCTGCAAAGAAATGTGCACAGGATTATAATATGCTTTCTGATGACGCTCGTCTCTTCACAGAGGTAAAAAAAAAAAATCACATTTACTTAAACTGCCAAGTAATATGCAATAGCAGCATTTTAAAATGTGTGATGATTTTCCAAAAGCACATGTTAATATTGTCAAATTAGAGACCAAATTTCTGTAGGTCTTTTATTCATCATGTATTTAAATAATAGAAATACTGACACCTCAAAATCAGGTACTATAGTATATTCATGTTTTTTTCTTTTAATGATCTACTGTATTTGAGTTATATTTTACTCATATGGATGGTTTGATCTGATGCACTGATTTCCCTTGCGAGAGAATGGGGTTTAAGGAGTTATATTGGTCCTTAAAATTCTGTATGGTCCTTTAGAACCTAGTCATATAAATTTATATTCACTATTTTCATGGTAACCAGCCACCGGATGATAAATTTCATCAAATAATTTTTTGATACTTAAATTATTCATGCAGGTTTATTTTTTAATTTTTTTTGAGGGTAATTATCATTTATTTTTTTAATGCATCTTTATTGGAGTATAATTGCTTCACAATACTGTGTGTGTTTCTGTTGTAGAACACAGTGAATCAGCCATATGCATACGTATATCGCCATATCCCCTCCCTCTTGAGCCTCCCTCCCACCCTCCCTATCCCACCCCTCTAGGCTGTCGCAAAGCACGGAGCTGATCTCCCTGTGCTATGCTGCTGCTTCCCACTAACTATCTGTTTTATGCTTCCCACTATCTGTTTTATGCTTCCCACTAACTATCTGTTTCATGCACATTTATTAGCAAAGCATGTAAATCCTCCCATCATGTAGTGGGCGTAGGAAAAATTTAGAGTACACTACTTGAATAGTAACTTAATAGTAGAGTTGTAGTAGAATTCATCTAGAAACACCAACACCAGTCTGAATTTTTTTTTTTAAGCCTTTAAAACTAGTCAGGGCTTCCCTGGTGGCCCGTGAGCCATGGCCACTGAGCCCGGAGCCTGTGCAACGGGAGAGGCCGCAACAGTGAGAGGCCCGCGTATCGCAAAAAAAAACCCAAAAAGGTTAAGATAGTAGGTTTTAAGGGTATTTTAGCACAGCTTTTTAAAAAAGTGCTCATTATAAATTGGAGGACAGCAGAGGGTATAAATTCTACTTTAAAACAAACACTTTTTTTTTTCTTCGGTACGCAGGCCTCTCACTGTTGTGGCCTCTCCTGTTGTGGAGCACAGGCTCCGGACGCGCAGGCTCAACGGCCATGGCTCACGGGCCCAGCCGCTCCACGGCATGTGGGATCTTCCCGGACCGGGGCACGAACCCGTGTCCCCTGCATCAGCAGGCGGACTCTCAACCACTGTGCCACCAGGGAAGCCCTATCTTAACCATTTTTAAGTGTAGCGTTCAATACTATTAAGTATATCACATTGTTTTGTACAGTGAGTAGTTTTATTTATTTATTTATTTCAAATTTATCAATTTTATCATGTATGGTTTATTTTTTTAATTTTTAAAATTTATTTATTTATTTTTGGCTGTGTTGGGCCTTCATTGCTGTGCACAGGCTTTCTCTAGTTGCTGTGAGCGGGGGCTACTCTTTGTTGTAGTGTGCAGGTTTCTCATTGTGTTGGCTTCTCTTGTTGTGGAGCACGGGCTCTAGGTGCGTAGGCTTCAGTAGTCATGGCTCTCAGGCTCTAGAGCGCAGGCTCAGTACTTGTGGTGCACGGGCTTAGTTGCTCCACGGCATGTGGGATCTTCCCGGGCCAGGGCTCAAACCTGTGTCCCTTGCATTGGCAGGCAGATTCTCAACCACTGTGCCACCAGGGAAGCCCACAATGATGGTTTTAAAACATAAATCACATCCCCTCATTTTGCTGGTTTCAAATGGCTTCTCATCTCACTCAGGAAGAGACAGTCTTTAGAAAGTTCTGCAGTGCCCTACATGATCCTGCCTCCTCACCACCACCACCCCAAGCCTGCTTCATCTCCTGCGTGTTCCTCTCAGTTATTCTGTTCCAGCCTCCTGACCTCTTTGTGTCTCTTGAATACATCAAGCACGGTCCTGCCTTAAGGCCTTTCTTTGGCTGTTCCCATCTTTCTGGCAAGCTGTTCCCCAGATACCTGCATGGATTAGTTCCTTGATTCCTTTAAGTCTCTCTCTGTTCAGTTGCCAGCTATCACTGAGGATACTCGTAATTACCGCATAAAAAGTAGCATCACCCGCAGCATTTCCTTTACCGTGTTTTGTTTATTGTCTTTCTCCCTAACACTTGTATGTAAGTACTGTTTGCGCACTGGGGTGTTCCCAGTCACTGGAATAATGCCTGGCACACAGTAAGTGCCCAGTATAATTACTTGTTAAGTGAATATAAAACTGTTTATGAACAGAGTACATTATTTGATAGCTAGCAGTCAGCATTAGGTCTTGCTTTTTAGCCAGGTTGACTTGGCAGCACATTGTCTTATTACACTTTACATCTTACCCCAAAGACTCACTGATCTTTTTCTAACCTTTTTATTGTTTTAAAATTTTAATTTTATATTATGAAATGTAATGTACCTATGCAAAAGTATTTAGAACAAATATGTACAGCTTAACAAATAATTATATAGTGAACACCTATGTAACTCTCTTCCAAGTCAAGAAATAAAACATTACCAGTAACCTAGAAGGCCCCTGTGTATCCCTCCTAGATAATAACATTTTCCCTTGTTGAAGAAATAATCACTGTGCCAAGTTTGGTTTGATCATTTCCATGCCTTTAAGAAAATTTTTTTTTTGATAATTCAAGTTTTCTTTTGCCTGTGTTTGAATTTTATGTGAATTCTTTTGCTCTTTTATGTGAACAGAATTCTTCCTTTACTCAATAGTATGTTTGTGAGATTCATATGTATGTATGTGTGTAGTTGTATTTCATTCATTTTTATTTCTGTACATCTATAAGTAAACTGGTTTATTCTGTTGATCAAAATCTGGGCTGTTTCCAGTTTTGAGCTATTGTAAGCAGTGCCCCTGTGAAAATTCTCATACATGTCTCTTGCTGCACATGTACACACGTATCTACTGGGTATATGACTAGGAATGAAATCGTTGGGTTATAGAGTATGCATATCTTCAACTTCAATAGATAATGTTAGACTGTTTTCCAAAGTGGTCATGCCAGTTTACATTGTACCTAGCAGTGTTTGAGAGGTTTTTACTCCGTATCCTCAACAATTGATACTTACAGTCATTTTAGTTTTAACCAATCTAGAGGATAGGGTGCTATATTTATAAGACTATACCTTTTCCTATGTTTCTTGGTCATTTCCTGTGAATTGAGTGTTCAAGTTTTGCCCTTTATTCTACTTGATTTTCCATCTTTTTGTTACTGATATGTGGGAGGTTTTGTATATCCTAAATACAAAAGTTTTATGGGTTGTACAGTAGTCCCCCCTTAATCTTGGTTTTGCTTTACTCCGTGTCAGTTACCCACAAATGGAAATTCCAGAAATACTTCATCACACACCATTCTGAGTAGTGTGATGAAGTCTCTCACAGTCCCGCTCTACCCCACCCACAATGTGAATTATCCTTCTGTCTAGTATATCCCACCCATTAATCTCTTAGTAGCCACCTTGGTTATCAGATGGACTTTCAAGGTATCACAGTGCTTGTGTTCAAATCACCCTTATTTTACTTGATAACGGCTCCAAAGTGCAAGAGTAGCGATGCTGGCAGTTTGGGTATGCCAAAAAGAAGCCGCAAAGTGTTTCCTTTCAGTGAAAAGGCGAAAGTTCTCAACTTAGTAAGGAAAGAACAAAAATCATATGCTGCAGTTACTAAGATCTGCAGTAAGAACGAATCTTCTATCCATGAAATTATAACAAAGGAAAAAGAAATTCATGTTCTGCTGTCACACCTCAAACTGCAAAAGTTACAGCTGCAGCACATGATAGGTGCTTAGTTAAGATTGAAAAGACATTAAATTTGTAAGATATTTTGAGAGAGAGAAAGTTACCACATTCATATAACTTATTACAATATTGCTATAATTGTTCTGTTTTTATTTTATTATTAGTTATTGTTGCTAATCTCTTACTGTGCCTAATTTTTAAATTAAACTTTATCATAGGTATGTATGAATAGGAAATGATATTCAGTCTTATCCACGATTTCAGACATCCACTGAGGGTCTTGGAATATATCCCCCATGGATAAGGGAGACTACATTGGGAGTTTTTTCTTTTATTTGATAAAACAGTTTTTTTAATCTACAAGATCCCCCTCCATATTTTTTTTCTTTAAACTTTATCTTTTCAAAAACCTGGGTCATTTGACCTTTCGAGTTTCCCACAGTCTAGATTTTGATAACTATATATTCATGATGATGTTCAACATGTTCTTTTTTGCTCTTTATTTCTTACAAATTGTGAACTGGATCCAGAAGCTTGATCAGAATTATAGTCTTGCCAAAGGGTTTGAACATATAGATGGTAGTGTTTTCTTTAATCAGGTGGCACATAATGTCTGATTGTTTTTTGTGATGTTAGTAGCTATTGATGCTTAATGCCAGATTTATTCATTCACTGGGGTTTGAAAAATTGTAAAATTCTAATTGCGTCATTTATTTTTATTCATTAGTTGGAATAATTTTATTAAGATATGTTTTTCCTCATCTACTCTTTGGCTTCCCATTTCATGTAGCAGAAAAAGTGCTAGATTCTTTATATACCAGTTTTGAAAAAATTAATTGGTTCCTTCTTATTTTACAATGGTGATCACTTTTTAAAAAAAATATTATTATTGAATCATGAAGTTAAACACATTTGATGGGTTTTAGTCCGCTACAATTATCCTTTTTGAAACTCAGATAATACCAACTTTGACCAGTGATGGGGTCTTCATACTGGCTTTTGAGTCACTCTAGGAGTCTTTGAGGCTTATTTTGTACATTTCCTATCCCAGCCCTGGAAACATTTTCTAGAGTCTTTGTTTCTTTTAGTGCGAAATGGCATTTCAAGACTACAGTCTGGGCACTGGGGATGCTCACTGCACCTGAGTTG